CTCGGGCTCAACCTCCTTAGCCCTCAGCACCCCCTCAAGCACGTTGCACATGCCGATGGCCCTCATAAGCTCCTCATCCTTTTCCTTCAGCTCCTCATCTTTCTGCTTGAGCCCGTCACAAAGCATCTAAAACTGGCTGTCCTGGCTAAGTAATTCGACTAGCGTTCAGTGCTTAGAATGGTACTCTCTGTACTTGGGTACCATCTTCTTGAAGAGGGCCGTCCTACGCTCTTCTCACCGATCACGCTCAATCTCCACAATATGGTTTTGACACGCAAAAGAAGACAGGTCAGTGGGAGCAAAATACACGTACAAAATAAACTAATCTAATATGGGAAAAGCAAACTTAATCGCAAGGCCATGCCAGATATACCCAACGACAAATTCGCATCCCTCAGAGTCTGTAGCATCTTGTTCTCAGAATCCGTACCCAGAGGAGCGAAGGCCGGCACCGCCCGTTCCGAATTAGCCAGAAGGTCATAATCCATAGGGATGGCTATGTGCCGATCAGGCCCCTCCGTCCTTATCTCCACTCGAGTGAACCTCTCCTCAAAGGCCTGCACCTTTTCAGGGTCGATATCGAAGCCTGACCCATCATCTTTTACGAGGATGGTTTTATCTCTTCCATCAGTTGATGATAGGCCGACCTTGGCTACTCGTGCAGGTTCCCTCCCGTCGAAGGTCCCTTCAACCTTTAAAGGTCTTTCCTCCATAATGACAACCGGCGTGGGAGTAGCCGTAATGCCTAATAAGGGTGTTGCCTCCGTATCCAAAATAATAGGCCTTTCCAACTCGGCATCAACAGCACTGACCATTCTCGTCTTCATTCTCTGCCTTTTCCTTGATACTGCCTCCCTCTCGTCAGGAGACGACTCGTCGATCAGGTGCAAGATGCAGTGATCGAAGGTCTCAATCAACGTGACGGCTGCCATTGGGGCGGAATCACCCAACGACGGAGCTAAGGTTCGACACTCCCGTGCAGACTCGGCCAGTACAAATTGCATTCAAGCCGAAGCAACTGCCTGGCATAAGGCGAGCACCGGAGCCTTTGCCTTCTTGGAAACGCACCGACCTGGTGCAAAAAGAAAATCGTGTTTAACAAAAAATAATGACAAGACAGTGGTAAACTCTAACGAAGGCGAAAGGGTCGTAAAAATAGAAATCAGACTCACTAATCAAAGGCTTGGGCCCGAATCGCATGTTAAAAGACATCCAGTCATGAATCCCCTCGGTATGAGGTAAGACGCAGGTCACCCAATCTTTGATATCAGAAACCAAAGGAGGTGGACGCTTACCAGCTGAAAATAGAAAGACATGAGAAAGTCAGAAACAAAAAGAAGAGTGATGAATAAAATATGTGACGAACGGTAAAAGGCCCTTACGTTTGAAGTTCCACTGCTCAGGGAACCCGGAGGGGTTCGCCACTACGTGCTCGATCTTGACGAAGAAGTAATTGCAACAGAACCGGTGGTTCGCCTTATCTTCTATCCCTGTTACCAATCCTTTAGTCCCACGATGGCGGGGATGAATCAGCGTCCGCCATGTAGAAACTAGGCATGTGGAGATGCAGCAGATGACGAATGGAGACTTCACAATCGGCCGGGCAGACGTCATAGAAACGGCAGAATTCCTCAGCGAGTGGGGGAAGAGGAAGAGAGTAACCCATCAAGAACTGGTATTGGTAGAAAGTGTAATGCCCAGGTCGATGAACTTGTATTGAGTTATTCCCCGTCGGAACGATATCGACGTGAGCAGGAATACAGAATTTAGACCGCATATCAGATATTGTTTCGACCCCATGACTGAAAGAACTTACTCAAGAGCAGGGGCAGGTTCCTTCTGAAAGTCATTTCTAATCGACGGGTTCCGAGGAATTATCTCCTCCACGATGGGAAAACTTTCATCTTCCGCAATCGTGGGTTCGCCACTATCGGAAAGCATAGCCACCGATAAAGGGGTGGCTTCGAAATTATATCAGAAGAGTGAGGGGAGTTTGTCATTTTTAAAAAAACATGTATACCGTAGAATCAGAATAAGGGTATCAACAGGAAAGTGTTCGATCAACGGGAAAGCTAAAACTGAAAACTAGGAGCAAATAGGAAGTAAAGGTTGGAGAAGAAGCAGAAGAATAGGCAAAGTGCCAAAGGAGTAGGAAGTTCGAAAAGTCTTATTTTTGAATCTCCCTTCCCCTATTTATAAGGTACTATGGCGCCCAGATCGATGCAAGAAACTATCATTGATGCTAAGATCGAAGCAACAGAGGCACTGGAAACAACGCATTGCATCGGGAAGATGCGTAATGATGACGCGCGTGGTCATAACGTCATCCTATGTTAGCCACGCCAACCACAACCTCTGTTCCGACACGTCACCAATGCGACGTCAACCAACTCAGCTCATTCGAGATGGTGGAATATCTTGCGATTAATTACAGACAAAATTCGCTCATCAAGGAATCCCAAGAGGGCGACTTCAATAAGTGGAGGGACTAACTGTATGGTTAAAATTAGGTCTAGTTTAGCGAATGCAGACGGACGAGCTGAGGCTGAAGTCGAAACCATGTACGATCTAGTGGCAAAGAGTCGCTCAATGGGGGAGACCAGTATCGAGGTCGAGCATAGAGCAGCGGCTGCGATTGTTAAAATGTTTCTGTGATTGTGAATAGGAATATTCTGTTGAATATTCCCCCACATTGTACTTTTTTAGGGTTTTCTAGGGATATCCCTTATAAATAGGAAGAGAGAAGAAACAAAAGGAGATTCGAAACTTTGGTGAAAGAACATATTGTAAAGAGTTGACTATCAGGAATATACAAAAAGTTTGTTTTGTCTCTCTTGTTTGGTTTTATCACATAATATTCCTCTTTAGCTCAAAAGAGCCAAGAACACATAGTCCACTTCATTTGTCTGTTGTCACACATTGTAGTCAGGGGAAAGAATCATCCATCTCATCCATCATTTGGGTGACAAATTCCTTCTTATTACATTTAATATCATTTATCATATTTAGGGGTCGTTTGGTAGGAGATAATAGAAAAAGTAATGCAAGCATTAGCTCTATGTATTACTAATACCTTCTTTGGTACCTTTTTTCAACTTGTGTATAACTAATACTTGTATTAATTATACATCATACTTGGCATTATCCTATGCATAAGTAATGCATAGAAAACCATGGCATTAGTAATACCAAGGCTTTAATGCATGCATTAGCATGGTTAAAGACAAAATTATCTTTAAAGTCCCTGAAAGCTAGAGAATATGGAGGGTATTTTTGTAAGCAACTACTTTTTTAAAAAATTATGCAATGCATTATAATTTTAATACACCATACCAAACAATAGATAAGAAATAATATTTGCATAACTAATGCTTGCATTACTAATACATGCTTTACTAATACACATTATTTCGTACTATTCTTATACACCCTACCAAACGATCCCTTATTGTATGTTTTCATCCTCGTATTAATTACTAGTCATTGAATATTAACTCAGCATTTGTTCACTTGGACACGAGTCCATAATGTCTAAGTTGTTTACTTTGAGATCTAGAATTTATTAGTTTTAACTGGGATTCACTCCTTATTTATTTATTAAATTGGTTTAACTAAAAGGGTTTAACACTATTTGGTCAAACAATAATCATTTATTTTTTCTAAAAAATACTTTCGGTGGAGGACATTTTCATTCATACCAAACACAGCCTAAAACCCAAAAAGAACAAAAGAGTAAACGAAATAGAATTACACGGAGAAAGTCTTAGAATAACCTGTCATGCATTTTGCAAGAGTTTTAAAGGAGTTTGGGAGATTTTCTTTATTCTCTTTTACAACTTATGAAAAGTTCTGCCCCAAATTTACGAAAAAGCTGAAAACATAACTTCTTCATTTTATTAGTTTCCACTTTCCACATGCACTCTTTTTTTGAGAATCTGCAGTACCATTATAATGATGGTCTGATTCCGTTTCTAAGGCTTCAGATAATGAATACCTCCCATTTTACTCAAAAAGAGGAAAACTCCAGACATGAAACTGACTGTATAAAGCTGCAACTCTTATGCTTGATTTTCCTTCCCCTTTTCTTTATTCTTTTTATTTATTTCCACTTAACATAAATAGCAAGGTGTGGGTTGAACCCGAGATGGATACTGTTGCTATATTGGGAAATAAAAACAATTACTCCACTAATATATCTTTTTCTGAAGAAAAAAAAAGAATAAGGTTTTTTTCAGCATCACATGTTTAAACAAACACCATTACTCATCACTTTCTCCTACTGCCACTTGACCCAAAAAAGCACAGCGATCTTCTTTCCTTTCACAGTCAAAAGGGTAACATAAATATTGTAGGGTTTTGATCAGCTCATTTCTGCATCAAATATTTCGATGCTTTAATTATTTCTTCAGAATTCAAAATTTTCCTCTCTCTACTCAGAAAACCTGGAGGTTTTAGGCCTCCATGGCTTTTTACCATGTTTAAATTTAAAAAATATTTTTTATTAAAATTTCTTATTAGTAAAAGACAAATGCCGTATGTGTAAAAACAAATCTTCCAATGGGGTCATAAAATTAAAACAAATTGTAACGGGGCAACAAAACCATTTGACCCTCAAAACCTTATGACTAACTGGTTTTATCGATCATGAGAATTCATGACAATTTACAGATAGATATTCATAATTGAAATTTTAAAAATAAAGTCAAAAGTCATTTTTTCGGCTCTAATGGTGTGTTTGGGTTTTGGGGGGCAAATATGAAAATGAAACTGTAAATTGTCTGTGCTTATGAGATTATCTTGAATGTAAACGAATTAATTGTTCCTCAACATGTGGAAGAAATTAGTGACCAGTTGTCCGATGAATAGTCCAAATTTTATTAGGATTAGGACTCGACACAGACGAAATGTCAAGAAAAATTTATGTCTCATATTTGTGAAATGCATACATAGTCAAGAACAAATCTCTTGAACTTATGATTAATCTGTTATAGTTTGATAGATGAGAGAGTTAAGCATTAGCTTAACAGTTAACATCACTCATTTAAAGAGAGAAGAAACACACAAATGAAAGATAGGTCAGTAGACCAACAAATATTGACAAGGCATTTATGACCTTTTAATTCTTCCCTTCCTAACACTGTACAGTTAGATTTATTGAAGAGCAAGACTTGCAACTTACACTTACAAAAGGGAAGAAAGGAAATGGCAAGAAAAAGTCTATTTAGCCCCTCTACAGAAAAATTGAAGAAAAGGCTAAAACCTTTTTTTTTTATACAAACACCAACAAAAAAAAGATGAAGAAGAAAATCCATAGTCCACACAAATTTGAAGGGTTGCATCATTAGCACACAATACTTAAAAATTAGTAATTCCACAACAAAGAAGGCTCAAAACAGCTTGAATAAATCATTCCTCCATCATCAGGATATAACCAACCTTCCACTGCCGAATGATCACAATACACAAAATCATTCTTCAACTCATCGTCAAAATAACTCGTGCCTAGTCTTGGCAGCTCAATAATTTGTGTCAATTCCTCAGATGTTGCCAAATCAATTGCTGATACCAACGATGATAGTGAAGAAGAAGTTGACATATTTGAAGAAGATGAAGTAGAATTATTAGGTGATGAATCAGAAGAAGAAAACGTAATGTTTATATTATTGTTATCAAATTTGTCCATTGCTGCTGCTTTAGCTGCTGCTGCTTGAATATCACGAGGGCTAAGTGTAACTGGTCTAGGGAGTGAAGCAGCTAGTTCAGGGAAATTGAGAATTGCTGAGTTACCTTTTATGCTTAAAGCTGCCACGTCATGAGCTCTAGCTGCCATTTCTGGATTTGGGAAAGTCCCTAACCAAATACGTGATTTTTTACGTGGCTCACGAATTTCTGATACCCATTTTCCCCAATTCCTCATTCGTACTCCTCTGTAAACTGGATGTTTACTGCTGTCTCGATTTCTCTTTATCTTCTTGCCTTCTATATCTTGTGGCTTATCCATTGTATGAATAGATATTTACGTACGTTTTGTACAGTGATTTTGCAGAGAAATTTAAAGGGCTTGGGTAGAAAAGAAGGAAGAAGAATCAAGAAAGTTATAGGAGTTAAAAGAGTAGAGAATGCATCCAAGAATACAACTTTTCTTCTTTTTGCATTATGTCCCAAAAAAAATGTAGTCACCCACAACACTTATAAAGGGAAGGAAAAAAAAGGGGGGTTGGGGGTAGGGTGTAAGGGTGGTAGGGGTAGGGGGTGTAAGAACGGGGGACCCACGGATGAAATGGGTCATCCCTGATAAAACCTCAATNCCATTCTACATGTGCCCCTAACAGTCATGTCTGATTGCACGTACATTTAATTTATTGTTATATGCCTTTGACAGTGTAATGTATTGTTTACTTTATTTTGATATGTTTTAGTAGAGGGTGATGGAAGGGAGGGTAAGGAGTGCAATGTCTACTTCTGAAAATCGGTTCGGGTTTCTACTGAACCGTTTTACTACGGAAGCTATCCACTTCATCATGAGGTTAGTGGAACAGTACATGAATAGAAAGAGGGATTTGCACATAGTGTTTATTAAACCTAGAGAAGGCATATGACAAGGTCTCTAGGGACATTCTTTGGAGATGCATGGAGGTGAAAGAGGTGCCGACAACTTACATTAGAGCGATAAAGGATATGTACGATGAATCTAAGACTCGGGTTAGGACTGCGGAAGGTAACTCAGATCTTTTTCCGGTGGTTATGGGGTTACACTAAGGATCTGCACTCAGCCTGTTCTTATTTGCCATGGCAATGGACGCCCTAACACACCATATTCAAGAGAAAGTGTCATGGTGTATGTTGTTCGCTGATAGTATAGTTCTGATTGATGAGACGCGAAGCGGCGTTAATAAGAGACTGAAGAGGGCGTGACGGAGGAAGCGGGCGTGGAAGTGAGGCTCGACTCACAAGTCATCCCTAAGTGAGAAAGTTTCAAGTACTTAGGGTCAGTTATCAGGAAGATGGGGAGATCGACGAGGATGTCGCGTATCGTATTGGGTGGGGTAGATGAAATGACGGTTAACGTCTGGAGTCCTGTATGACAAAAATGTGCCACCAAAACTTAAGGGTAAGTTCTATAGAGCGGTAGTTAAACCGGCCATATTGTATGGAGTTGAGTGTTGGCCCGTCAAGAGTTACATATTCAAATGATGAAAGTAAATGAAATAAGGATTTTGAGATGGATGTGCGGGCATACTAAGCTGGATAAGATTAGGAATAAAGATATTCGGGAGAGGGTGGACGTTGCTCCCATGGACGACAAGATGCGGGAACTGAAGCTTAGATGGTTCGGACATGTGCGGAGGAAAAGCCTAGATGCCCCGGTTAGGAGTTGTGAGTGGTTGGCTTTGGCAGGTATGAGAAGAGGTAGAGGGAGGCCTAAGAAGTATTGGGGCTAAGTGATCAGGCATGACATGATGCGGCGTAAAATTTTTGAGGACATGACTCTTGATAGGTCGAACACTTAGGGTTCTAGGCTAGGGGTAGTCGATTTGATAGAGTTCTGTCTAGGACTGCTAGCGGTTTATGTTGTGTTCACACTATTTTTTTTATTTTGTTTTGCATAGTACTGCGAACCCGTTTGGATGAGCTTATTTTAAGTGACTTTTAATACAAAAATAGCTTTTAAGCCATAAGTTAGGAATTCTAGCTTTTGACTTTTCACTTTTTTTTTTAAAATTATTTTAGCTTAAAAACAAAACAAGTGCTTAAAAGCATTTTTTTTTACTTTATCCAAACACTACAAAATGGCTTAAAAGCTATTTTAGCTTAAAAGTACTTAAAATAAGTCAATCCAAACGGGATCTGTGTTGTTGCCTTTCCACTAAGTTGTTGTCTCTTACGACGGTGTTATTATTTTTTTGGTTTCTTTTGTTGTTCCAGATCTATTCTTTTATTCTTTTTTGATATTATTGTCTCTTATGTTGAGCCGAGGGTCTCTCGGAAACAGCCTTTTTATCCTTTTAAGGTAGAAATAAAGTCTACGTACACTCTACCCTCCCCAGATCCCATTAGTAGAATTTTACTTGGTTATATTATTATTGTTGTTGTTTTTTTTAGTATGTTACTTGGAGTATTTTTATAAAAGAGTATCAATAGGCGCTACTTAATAAAGTTACATAAAATTACTTTTTAAATGTTTTTGACTATTAAAATATTTTTTAGGTTTTCGGCGCATAAAACTTAAACTCAATTTCCCATTGAGAGTTGATCTAATTAAGAATTGCTCTGTCGACTGTCGTTCATTAATATTTCCAAGGTAATGTCTCTACTAAAGACACAAGTACTAAAAACGCAAGTTTAATGGATGAAGAAGTGTTCGTACATTTTTACGTTGTGTGCGTTTTTGTGTTTATTTACAGTCCAAATAACTATAACCGCAGTTTGTGTACTTTTTTGTATTACAAACAAGTATTCCTTTCGGCTGAGGATTAAATAGAAAATAGTGTAGTTGGTTGGAATTTTTTTAATGCAAAACACTTATTGCCGTCCTTATAATATAGAAAAAGCTGCAACTTGTCAATTCTTTTTGTATAATAGACTGTATTTATAAGACAAGCTTTTTATGAGTGTACCAATTTTTTTTTTATGGAATCAAGATCACAATATACTGACACTAGCTTTACTGGTTTGAATACATCTGATAGTCTCTAAGTTTCTCTTTTGTTTTACCTTTATTCAAATTTGGATGGAATACATCTCGTATTCTTCTAGTCTTATATTAATTTTTTTTTTACCTGTATAAGTTACTCTTTCTTTGATCCACTGTTGGTGTGGAATGAAAATGATATGGATTCTGCCTTATTTGTATTCCAGAATCTTCACTCTCTTTCCGTTTTTTTTTTGGCCATCTTTCCTTTGTTTTGCAAATAAGTTAAATATTTCCTTATTTGCAAAGATTCTTTTATAGAAGAACAAGTTTTTCTTTACAATTTAGGATGCGGAAAGAAGAGAGGAATAGTTTGAGACAAATAAAACGAAGAGCAAGTGAATGAAAAACACATTCGGCTACTAAGGTTTTTGAGATGGTAATTATTGTTCTTTTTGTACAGTCAAATTTTCTCAATATTTTTTTGCACGTAGGCATCACTAACGGATCTCTTTAAATCTTTTGTGAATCATTATCTTCTTTTATTTTATTTTGTATATGTCTTAATTTGTGAGTTTTTCATATCAAATTGGTATCAGAGTTTTCGTTAATAAACAATTCGAAGAAAGAAAAAAAAAGACAATTTTGACGGTGGATCAAGTTTCGACTGGTACTATAAGGATTACAACTACAACAACAACATACCCAGTATTATCACATACCGTAAGATCTCGAAAGGATAGTGTGTACGTAGCCCTTACCCCCACATTGTGAGAATAGAGATACTATTTCCAATAAAAACTCGGCTCAGGAAAGCATAAGCACTACATTAATGAAAATATAGACTAGAAGGGATAGTACCAAAAAGTCATATAAATGTTGAATAAAAACAACAAGACAGTAGGTGATCAACAATGAAAGAAAACAACGGTTAGTCATAAAAACCTACTCCAACAAAAAGTGAGACTGCGTGCCAATCCTGCTATTATGAACACTCTAGACTACCTACTCTACTACCCTAATCCTCGACCTCCATACCTTCCTATCAAGAGTCGTGTCCTCGGTCAGCTGAAGCTGCGGCATGTCTTGCTTAATCATCTCTCTCTACCTCTTCTTTAGGCTACATCTATCTCTCCGTAGGCCCTCCAATGTCAACCTCTCACACCTCCTCACACGGTGTCTGAGCTCTTCCTCCTCACCTGACTAAACCAGCTAAGTCACGCTTCCCTCATCTTGTCCTCAATAGGGGGTCTCACCCACCTTGTCGCGAATAACCTTATTTCTGATCCTATCTAATGTGGTGTGCCGGTACATCCATCTCAACATCCTCATTTCTTGCTACCTTCATCTTCTGGACATGAGCGATCATGACTGGCCAACACTCAGCCACATACAACATTGTTGGTCTGACCACCACTCTGTAGAACTTACCTTAAGTTTCGGTGGTACCTTCTTGTCACACAAAACACCGGAAGCGAGTCTCCATTTTATTCATTCCGTCTCAACACGATGGATGACATCTTCATCAATCCCTGAATGGTACTATAAGGATTGCGGAAGACAATTAATGCGAATTTTCCTAAAATAAGAAAGATGACAAAGCAAATCGACAAATTAAAAGAGAGTCTTGAGTGCAATTTTTCATTAGCATTTCTGAGAAGGTTTTAGGGGAGATTGCTGGTGATAAAACAACAAATATTGTTTGGAAAAATTGGAAGAGCTCTATTGCGAAACTTGCTAATCAAACTTCGTTGAAGAAAAAATGTACAACCCAGAATGAGTTAGATATGTACATAGAAGATCATCTTGATTATTTATTCCATCATCATGGACTTGAAGAATGTAGATGTTGAGCTCGAAGATAATTATCAAGCTTTGATTGGATTATGTTGGAGTTTAATCTAAAAACTGATTATTAAATTATTCAAATAAATTTATAAAAACGAGGCCTCAATTGAACTGATCCTTGTAAGTAAGAACCTGGCAAATTGAACAGATAATGGTAAGAGAAAATAGTATGAAAACAAGAGAAGGGAAGGAGCTTCTTCCGTAGATAGGGAACAATTGAACATAGAGCTAGAGACAAGTTTGTTGCTAAATTGAAATTATAATCAACAGTGCGAGAATAAAGATTTTAAATTGCTTTACAAAAGGGGTGAAAGAATATTTTAAAATAAAATATATATAGACTAACCTAACCAAATCCGTTATGAATATTACGGATTTGTAACTGCTTAGAAATTAATACCGAATCCATAATATTTCAGAACTTGCTGGGTGGATACTGGAGTCTTCCTGGATATATATATATGAGTCCTAATGTAGTTCCTCTTCAGAAATGGCGCCGACTGCTTTAGGGCATCTCCTCCAACCTTCGCTCCAATTTTTTACTCTAAAAATGGGATTACTCCAAATTGGAGTAAACTAACACCAATCATTACTCCAAATAAATATTCTTTTTTATATTCTTCTCTTTCTTCTATATTATATTGTTATCTTTTATTTAATTTTATTTTTTTATTT